CCCTTTTCCCTAGATAAAGAATCTAATGGGTCAAAAACCTGTGAGGAATTGCCTTCAGCTAAATAGGTGAAGCTGCTGTTATCTGAGCTTTGATTAGATCCAGACAACTAAGACAACTGACCACATTTTCTTACTTAAGATGAAATGATGATGTATAATCTTCTAATTAGGAAATGAGTGAGAAGAATATACTTCAAAAGATTCCTATGGGTACTGCTTTTGGAAATATTTAACTCGTAAGTCAGTTTTGAATGTCCTTTCCACTCAAGTTTGAGCAATAAATGTTTTTATGACTTTTAAAATTTTTGTCAAAAAATTGTTTGTACTTCCTGGGTGATCTCACTCAGTCTCATGGCTTTAAAAATGAAATTATTATCTCCAGCCTGGACCTCTGCCAACTTTGACTGTGATTTTCTAGGCTTCTCAAGCTTAACACATTCAAACCCAAGCTTCTGGTCTCCCCATGAAATTCAAATAGCAGCTTCATCATCCAGGCCAGATTTCTTTTTCTTTTGTCCCCTTTTACTATCACACCTCACCTCACAAGTTTATCAGCACATCTTATTTTTGACTCTTATCTTTAAACATACAAAACATGAGACTTTTCCCCTTTTCTGCTGCTACTACCCTATCGATTCCCAGCTGCCGCTTATCTTCCCTGGGTGATTGAGCCCCCTGTGTCCCTTGAGTTTTTTCTCAGTGACCAGAGTGATCTCATGTAAATGGAAGTCAGATCATGCCTTTCTTTGCTACTCACATCCCTGCTGAAGTGTCATTTGAATAACTTCATTTCACTAGAGTAAAAGCCAGAGTCCTTTCCCTGGCCCACAAGGCCTGCCAGAATCCAGGTCTTCCTCCCTCTGCCCCTTCACCTCTGAACTTAACTCTGACCTCTCTCCCTCTTCTTGTGCTACTCTTTGAATATGTCTTGAGTGTGCCTGGCTCCTTCCTGCTTCTGAACCTTGGTACTTTCCCCTCTCAAGGAATCACCTCCCTTCATGCGTCCTTGGCTTCCTTTCTAATGCTCCTACTCAGGGTCAAAGCCCCCTCAGAGAGGCCTTCCCTGACCATCTTGTTTAAAATTGCAGTCCTGCCACACTGTCTGTCCCCTTTAGATTTCCTACGGAAGATCTTCTCTTACTAGGTATGGTGCCTTTTGTTGATGATCTGTCGCCACTGTGAGCACATAAGCTCAGGATCAGGGCAGGGGCTTTTGTATTGGGTTTTCTGCTGTTTACCAACAGCCAGAGCAGTAAGTAGCATATAGTAGGCATTCAGTTGACAGTTGTTCACTGAGTAGATGAAGCTTGTTGTAAATCTGAAATGTAGTCTAGATTAGATTTTCTTCCTTTTCTTTTTTAAAGTATGTTATAAGATGTTTTCTGTTTCACTGAGTTGGGCAGTGATTGACAATAGACATTTTCAATGTTTTTGGCTTTCTTACTGGAGAAAAATAGCTTTGGGGGCAGAGTGAGTGTGTTTCTTAATCTGTCTGTGTGCATCATCAGCATGGATGAGTGGAGGAGAAGTTGGTGCCTGTGAAGAAGAGCTGGAGACCCTGGCAGCACAGGCAGCAGGAGTTCCTGTGCAGGTCAGATAGGGTTGAGCTTTGTGAGAGCTGTGCTGGAATCCTGCTTTGTGCCCACTGGCTGTGTGGCCTTGTGCAGATGATCTCTTCTGAGTCTTGTAGACTGTAAAGCGAGGATGACAACTTCTGTCCAGTTCACTTCGTGAGTTGAAAGAATCAAATGAGGGACCTGCTCTATAAACCTCATGTTGCTGTAATAAAGACGCTGTTGTCGTATCATCCACTTTGTAGATCATTTCTAGCAAATTGAAGTGACAACTCTCCTTCTCAGTGCCATCTGGTTCCTCTCTGGGTCCCTTTCTTCAGTTGTCACATTGCGGTATGTGTTGATTACTGTACATTAAGGCTCAGAAGAATTATGATTTGTATGTTAAACATAGAGGAAAAAATATATTCCCATTGAGCTGTATTTTAAAGCCAAACATAAATGGTAATTGGATTAACTTTTGCTTGGATTATTAATGTTCATACTTACCTGAAAGTTGGATATATAAATATATGTCAATATATAAATGATATAGTATTAATTCTGGTAATTTAATAGTAATATAACATGCAGATAATGTAATATGTAAATAGGGCCAACTTTCAGATAATTCAAAACATTGATTTTATAAATATACATACACATATATACTGGATTTTATTTTATAGACATCTTTATTGTTTCTTGATTTTTTAACTTCCTTGCTCACTTTGGCAGAAACAACTCTATTTTCTTTGTAAATAAGAAACAGTATATGATTTTGTAGTGAGTAGTGTTGAATGTACAATTTGGACTTAGTATTTTTTTTTCTTTGAGTACTGAAAAAATGTTTTCTACACAGTTTTCTGGAGCAGTTATCTTGTTAACTCTAGGGAGAATGATTTTTTTTCTTAAACTGAGAAGTGTTTCTGTCTGAAACTGCAATTGTAGTAGGGGGTTTTCAGCCCAAGCTTTTCATTCTTTTTGGTTTCCCAGTAGACCTTGATAGGTTTTCAGGGTCAAAGAGGAACATTTTAACAACAGTGTTAGCTGATAGTTTTCTCTCTTGCCTGATTGGCTCATTCATGCTCTAAACTTAAGACTCATAGAGAAAGTAGTACATCTCTGTACTTTCAGTTGCTAGCACTGGTAGCCTGCTGGGACTTGGGAGTTTATGAATATCCATTTAGCAGATGACTCTTCTGCGCAAAACTTTCGTAGGCGTAGAAGAATTTTTCCTTTTCTTGAAATATGTTTAGAAAATGGAAATCCTATTTGAAAGCATGCGTCTTACATAGAAAGAAATAACCTAGTTTATGCTACATGCTTTCCTTCTAATTTAGCTTGTAGACACATGATTGCTCCTTCATCACCTGTCTCCCAAAGGCCGTTAATACTAAGGATATTTGAGATGATTGTAAGGAGGTCTTTTCTGGTATGAGATTTGACCCAAGAGCTCTGCAGAGAATATACCATAATTGTCATGGTTTTAGCATAACCAAAGAAAATTTTTTCTGCATCTGAAGCATGTAACTACAGACTGGTTTGTTTGTGGTTGTTGTTAAGATGACCAGTCTTTTGTTTGTTTACATGCACTGTTTTCTTTCTTGCCCTAGTTTCATGAGAAACAGAAGCTTCTTAGATTGACCAGTTGCCTTCTTTTGTTTCATTTGAGCATTGAGAACAAGGATCATGAGTTTTCTCCCCCATTGTGGTTTTAGTTCTGAACACCTGGCACATAGTATTTAGTAAAGATTCATTGAATAAGTGAGATAGGATATTAGGGAAGATCACAAAAAATCACAAAAGATAAATTATTTATTTATAAATTTATTATTAGGTCTATTCCAAAACTGACTTATAAAGAAAAAAGTTTTTTTCTGCTATAAAATTTCTATAAGAACTGTGTTGGGTTGGAGTTTTGGATTCACTTTTCCCATTGCAAACTCTTTTTTTTTTTTTAATTATTTTTTTATTTTTTAAATAAAGATGGGGTTTCACCATGATGGCCAGGCTGGTCTTGAACTCCTGGACCTCAGGTGATCCACCCACCTTGGCCTCCCAAAGTGCTAGGATTACGGCGTGAGCCACCACGCCCCGTCTCCCATTGTAAACTCTTAAAAACCTCAGACTTTTCTTTTTTTTTTTCCCAAGCTTACAGACAGTCTATTGTGGGAAAAAACCTCAGACTTTTCTTGTTGGGTTTGGCTTTGAGGAGCACTTTATTAGGAATGACACTTAATAGTATAAATTTGGAAGACTGTAAAAACCACCTAATATTCCCTAAAGATAGAAGGTTATTTCTGGAAGCTGTTATGCTATGTTAAGGCAGAGATAATACATTTTCTTTCTTTTCTTATTTTGAGATGGAGTCTTTCTCTATCACTCAGGCTGGAGTGCAGTGGCATGATCTTGACTCACTGCAACCTCTGTCTCCTAGGTTCAAGCGATTCTCCTGCCTCTGCCTCCCAAGTAGCTGGAACTATATAGGTGTGTGCCACCATGCCCAGCTACTTTTTGTATGTTTAGTGGAGCTGGGGTTTCATCATGTTGGCTAGGCTGGTCTCGAACATCTGACCTTATGTGATCCACCTGCCTTGGATTCCCATAGTGCTGGGACTACTGGTGTGAGCCACCACACCCGGCCAATAATACATCTTTAGAGAAATCACTTTCCTTGGAACATAACTGAAATGATAGGATGTAAAGATGTATAAAATGTAACTCAAGGTGGAAAAATCTTGCTTTGAAGCTCTCATTTTCATTTGAGTTAAATATTTTTTATTCTTGAAGGGAGTCTGGGAGTTTGTAGCCAGAAAATGTCTTTAGAATATAGTGCTCTGTGTCATATCCTGAGACATTTTTGACAGCTTTGCAAACTATTACTGTTTCTTTGAGTAGAAATATTTTATTTTATGGTGGAGATGGGATCTTGCTTTGTTGTCAAGGCTGGTCTTGAACTCCTGGCTTCAAGCATTCCTTCTGCCTTGGCCTCCCAAAGTGCTGGGATTGGGATTATAGGCATTAGCCACAGTGCCTGGCCTGGAAATAATTTTTACTATGATTTGTTCCTTTTTAAATTAATATTATGAGTTATGAAGCTCCTTTTGTATAATAATACTCATTATATGTTGCCCACCAGGGAATATTGCTTTGGTTTTTCTTTAAAAAGGAGAAAACATGTAGGGTGGAGGCAGTATAGTTTACTCTTATGCATTCAGACAGTTTTTATTATTGGTATGGTAGAAAACCCCAAACCATTTGCTAGCTGAGACCAAAAACTGTATTTTAAAATTTTAACACTTATCTTAGTTTTTCTCCTATGACTTGTATGAAGTTTTTAAGTGTAAAGCATGAATAAGTAAGAGATTCATTTAACAAAACATTATTTTAGAAAAGAAATATGAAAAAGCATTAATGTAAAATCATTCTTTTTTTTTCTCCTAGCATTTTTGAAACGTTGGGGTTGTTGGAGTGGTTGGATTTTCCCTGGAATTGAGTGAGAAATTCAGAAGACTGAAGCCCAGGCTTACTGTCTACCTTTCACGGAGGCCTAGCCGTGAGAGGACAGAAGAAGGCACGTGGCGAATCATGACAGCAGACAAAGACAAAGACAAAGAGAAAGAGAAGGACAGGGACCGAGACCGGGACCGAGAGAGAGAGAAAAGAGACAAAGCAAGAGAGAGTGAGAATTCAAGGCCACGCCGGAGCTGTACCTTGGAAGGAGGCGCCAAAAATTATGCCGAGAGTGATCACAGTGAAGATGAGGACAATGACAACAATAGTGCCACTGCAGAGGAGTCCACGAAGAAGAACAAGAAGAAACCACCAAAAAAAAAGTCTCGTTACGAAAGGACAGATACCGGCGAGATAACATCCTATATCACTGAAGATGATGTTGTCTATAGACCAGGAGGTGAGCAGCGTTATGTTTGGGTCTTGCCAGTGTTTGCAGTAGGGAATGATCTTAGCATTATGATGAAATAAATACGCTTTTTACTCTTTAAGGAGGGCTTGGAATCCAGAGGAATAGGAAACTTAATTTGGTAAACATGTGACTCACTTTTGGTCAGTTGGGTTTACTCACTTCTTACTTGTGTCTGCCTTAATTTGGTCTTGTGCCCTGGTTTGTGCATTCATGAGTTCTTTCTTTGTTTTCCTATGCTTCTTGTTCTCTAACTTGACTGTCTGCTTAGTATTTTTTTGTCTTTTGAAATCATCCTTGCTTTTTAATCTTCAATCATAAATTAGACTGTGGTGACCTTGCAGAATTGACTACTTGGTGCAGACAGGTAACCCTTAAGATTCTTGGAAACAGAAAATTTTACTTTGGCACAGGATTAACCATACTCTAGAGAGATACTTTTTAAAAATGGCCTTTAGGCTGGGCATGGTGGCTCCTGCCTGCAATTTCAGCACTTTGTCAGGGCCAAGGCAGGTGAATCACCTGATGTCAGGAGTTCGAGACCAGCCTCACCAACCTGGTGAAACCCTGTCCTTACTAAAAATACAAAAATTAGCCAGGCTTGGTGGCATGTGCCTGTAATCCCAGCTGCTCAGGAGGCTGAGACAGGAGAATTGCTTGGTGGAACCCAGGAGGTGGAGATTGCAGTGAGCCAAAATTGTACCAGTACACTCCAGCCAGGGCAACAGAGTGAGAGTCTGTCTCCAAAAAAAAAGTCTTCAGATCAGAGGTCTATTGCTCTTACTAACTCAAGCTGTCTAATCAACAATAGTAGAAGTCATCAAACCTGCTTGGTTTTCCAGAAAATGTATTATGGTCACACTAGTGTATTGTACCTTGTAACTTTGCTTGAAAAAAGATAGACCCAGCTTTCAGATGAGATCATCAAAACAAGTGAGTCAAAACCTGTTGGACACTAGCAAAGCCTTTCTTTTTCATTTGACGTATTGTGTGTATTAAGGTATCTTTTTTAGGCTGGGCACAGTGTAATCTCAGTGCTTTGGGAGGCGGATACAGAAGGATTGCTTGAGCCCAGGAGTTCAAGACCAGCCTGGGCAACATAGTGAGATCCCCCATCTCTACAAAAAGTTTTTAAAAATTAGCTGGGCATGGTTGCACACACCTGTGGTCCCAGTTACTTGGGAGGCTGAGGCAGGAGGATCACTTGAGGCCGTAGCGAGCCATGATTGTGCCACCGAATTCTAGCCTGGGCGACGGAGCAAGACCCTGTCTCAAAAAAAGGAAGATACTTTTCTTACAGAAGCCAGTAAAACCTAGGTGAAATCATTTTGTTTCAGTTACTTTTATTGTTGAAGAGTGACATAAATTTCATATGAGATATAATTAGCAGATTAAAGCTGCCCATTATTATGTTATTCCGAGAAAGAGATTAAAATACTTCACTGTGTTAGGTCCATAATCTGGAACAGTCATTTTGCTGAGGAATGCTGTCACTGTTCTGAACTTCACATCAAGTTCCAGATTCTCCTACATAGGAGTTTTTTGAATTTCAAAAGATGTCAGTGGGGCTGGGTGCAGTGGCTCATGACTGTAATCCCAGCACTAACCCTGTCTCAAAAAAAAAAAAAAAAAAAAATCAGTGTTAGAACTTAATACAGACAAATTTTTATTCACAACTACAGTTTCTTGGTTGAAGATTAACTGAGAAGGTATTTGTGTGATGTAAAGTTATCATAGTGAAGGTTTTAGAGCAGTTAGAACCCTGCTGTAGGGATTAAATGATGTATGTGTAGGTTACAATACTGTCTGTATTTATCTTTGATTTAGACTTAGCTATTGGGCAGCAGGAATTTCTTAGTGACTGAAGAATCTCTCATATAGTTACCACAGATTACTTGTTTGGGGCCTATGTCGTTCTAAATCATAGGAAAGGAACAGAATATGTTAACTCTTTTAGATGTAGATTGCATTATGATAACTTCATTATAATGCAAGATTGATTTATGGTCTTTTCTCCGGATAACATTTTAATGTGTTAATGCAGTTCAGATCATTGCCCAAAGGCAAGCTGCCTTGTGCAGTATTAAGTACTAACCTTTCTCAGCATTTATAATATGGAATGTTACTCTGGTGTCAGTGTGGACATTTCACCAAAAATAGTAGTTAAATATGTGTGGAAAACGCTGCATGTACAGTCTCCCTCATGAGAGTCAGAATTAGTGACTCCTAGAATCCCTGCAATTAAGGAAACCTCTTTAACATGGAAAACAACTGCTATTTTCCCTGTTTATGGGGCTGTGGCACCCTGTTCTGCTGAATATCTCCCTAAAAATGCAGATCAACCAACAAACCAAAAAGTCTTGGATCTGGGCACAGTGGCATGTGCTTGTAGTCTCAGCTACTTGGGAGGCTGAAGTGGGAGGATCTCTTGAGCACAGGAGGTCAAGACTGCAGTGCTAGGCCGGGCGCGGTGGTTCACACCTTAATCCCAGCACTTTGGTAGACTGAGGCAGGTGGATCACAAGGTCAAGAGATCGAGACTATCCTGGTCAACATGGTGAAACCCTGTCTCTACTAAAAATACAAAAATTAGCTGGGCATGGTGGCATGTGCCTGTAATCCCAGCTACTCAGGAGGCTGAGGCAGGAGAATTGCCTGAACCCGGGAGGCGGAGGTTGCGGTGAGCTGAGATCACGCCATTCCACTCCAGCCTGGGTAACAAAAGTGAAACTCTGTCTCAAAAAAAAAAAAAGAGACTGCAGTGCTCTATGATTGTGGTGAATAGCCCTGCACTTCAGCCTGGGCAACAGAGAGAGAACTCATCTCTAAAATAAAAAACGGAGAAAACATTTTTGGGAAATTTCGTACGTCATCTTGTACCTTTTACAGGATCTAGGAAGTCCTCCGGATATGGTTTGGCTCTATATACCTACTCTAATGTCGCCTTGAATTGTGATAATCCCTGACAAAGGCAGGACCAGGTGGAGATAATTGAATCCTGGGGCAGTTTCCCACATCGTGTTCCTGTGACAGTGAGTGAGTTCTCAGGAGATCTGATGGTTTTCTAACGGGCCTTTCTGCCTTTGCTCAGCACTTCTCTCTCTCACTGCCATGTGAGAAGGATGTGTTTACCTCCCCTTCCACCATAATTGTGAGTTTCCTGAGGCCTCCCTAGCCCTGTGGAACTGGGAGTCAATTAAACCTCTGTCCTTTAAAAATTAACCAGTCTCAGGCAGTTCTTTATAGCAGTGTGAGAAGGGACTAATAATACACCTCCTTTTTGAGTCTGAAAGAATATGTGAAAGGAGATTGCTAAGGGCTTATTTACAGAACGGTTCTTAAAGTGCTTGGGCAAGAACTATGTATTTATGGAGGCTGATAGTTTTTGAATGAATCTGAAAACCTCTGTGAAATGTGAAAAAGGTGTGCTGTCTCTGAAAGCTAAGTATGTTATGAAAGATCTGTAAAGGCCACACACAGTTTGGAAGATTCCTGTGGCACCCAGAGCATAACTGCTTCATGTGAGGTGCCCTTTTACTTGCGTGGAGGCTGTGCCTTTGCATCCTGCCAGGTCCAGTGGATGTTTGACTCTTTGGTAAGGAGACTGTCTTTGACCTTCTCAGTGGTTTCTTTTCTTTTTGGTGATGGATTTTAAGCTAACTGAGTTGGCTGCCTTCTCCAAACAGCCTTTTCTCTAAATGCGTACTTGTTAAATGCTGCCTGTTCTTAAGGTGTACTTAAACGGAGGAATCAGAAGTAGGGTACTGGGTGGACAAGGTGACTCATACCTGTAATTCCAGCACTTTGAGAGTCTGAGGCGGGAGGGTCACTTTGAGGCCAGGGGTTTAAGGCTACATACAGTAAACTACGTGCATTACATTACAGCCTGGGTGACAGAGCAAGACTCTGTCTCTTTAAAAAAGAAAAAGAGTACTGTGATTAGATTCTCAGATGGGAGTTGAGTTCTTCCTTTCCTTTGATTAGATTCTCAGATGGGAGTTGAGTTTTTCCTTTCCTTTGTTTTGTTTCCTGATTTTTTTTTTTTTTTTTTTTTTTATACAGGGTATTGCTTTGTCATCCAGGTTGTCAGTAGCGTAATCACAGCTCACTGCAGCCTCAACCTCCCAGGCTCAAGTGATCCTCTTGCCTTGGCCTCCTAAAGTGCTGGGATTATAGGCATAAGCCACTGCACTTGGTCTTTTACTTTCTGGTAAAAACAACTACAGTAACATCCTTTGTTGATGATGAAAAACCATTATCCTCACCCACTTGCAGAGATCCTGTGTGCTTAGTTGTATCTTAAAAGCTTAGGATCTGTGGAGGATATCGTAAAGGATGTCTTCAATGGATTACTAGTTTAAAAAAAAAAAAAAAAAGAGAGACAGAGTCTCATTCTATCACCCAGACCGAATTGCAGTGGTGGACTGGAGGGCAGTGGCTTTATGATAGTTCACCACATCCTTCAACTGCTGGGCTCAGTTGATTCTCCTGCCTCAGCCTTCTGAGTAGCTAGGACTATAGGTGTTCGCACACATGGCCTATTAAAAATTTTTTTTTTTGTAGAGATGGTGTCTTGACATGTTACCCAGGCTAGTCTTGAACTCCTGGCCTCAAGTGATCCTCCTGCCTCCGTCTCCCAAAGTCTTGGGATTACAGATGTGAGCCACTGCATCTGGCCAATCACTAATTTTAAATGGTAGATTTTTTTTTTGAGACGTAGTCTTGCTCTGTTCCCTAGGCTTGAATGCGG